TGGGCTCAGGCAATCCACTCACCTCAGCCTCCCAAAGCACTGGGATTACAGGCTGAGCCACCAAGCCCGGCTAAGACTTAATTTTCTTTCTTTTTTTTTTTTTGAGTTGGAGTCTCACTTTGTCACCCAGGCTAGAGAGCAGTGACTCGTTCATGACCACCACAGCCCTGACCTTCTGGGCTCAGGCAATTCTTCTGCCTCAGGCTACCAAGTAGCTGGAACCATTGGCATGCACTACGATGCATGGCTGATTTTTTTATTTATTGTAAAGACAAAATCTCACCAAGTTGCCCATGCTGGTCATGAAACCCTGGGCTCAAGCAATCCTCTCATCTTGGCCTTCCAAAGTGCTGGGATTACAGGTTTGAGCCACCACACCCGGTCAGGCTTAACTGTCCTTCTTTTTTGTGTGTGTGTGTGTGACTTGGAGTCTCACTCTGTCACCCAGGCTGAAGTGCAGCGGCACGCTGCCTCAACTTGCTGGGCTCAGGTGATCCTTCCAAGTAGCTGGAAACAGAACCATGTGCCACCATGCCAGGCTAATTTTTTGATTTATTGTAGAGATGAGTTCTCGTCATGTTGTTCAAGCTAGTCTTGAATCCCTGAGCTCTGATAATCCTCTCATCTCTGCCTCCTAAAGTGCTTGGATTACAGGCTTGAGCCACCACGCCCAGCAAGGCTTACTGTCATTTGAGGAATAAACAGCAGTTTCTCTTTTATCCTGACAAAAGCCTCAGAAAGGGATACAGTTTCCATTAAAACATCATTTCTAGCATTTGAGTTTTTTCATCCAAAGTTTGGCCATCAATGTTCTACAGTACCCTCCAAGAGGAAGTAAGTCCCCCAAGAGAGAAAGGAAATACTAACAGTATCTCAAGAAAAAGAGACAGGCCAGGCATGGCGGCTCAAGTCTACAATTCCAGCACTTTGGGAGGCCGAGGTAAAAGAATTGCCTGAATCCAGGAGTTCAAGACCATCCTGGGTAACTTGGTGAGAACTCATCTCTACAAACAAATGGCCAGGCAAGATAGCGCACCTGTAGTTCCAGCTACTTGGAAGGCTGAGGTGGAAGGATCGCCTGAGACCCACAGATAGAGGTTGCGGTGGCTGTGAGCATGCCACTGCGCTCCAGCCTGGGCGACAGAGTGAGACTCTAACTCAAAAAAAAGAGAAAGAAAAAGCAACAAAAAGAATGTCAAGAAAAGAGGAAGAGTAGGCAAAAGAAGTCAGAAGGGACTGGACTCGGTGGCTCAGTCTGTAATCCCAGCACTTTGGGAGGCCGAGGCGAGTGGATGGCCTGAGCCTGCAGGTTCAAGACCAGCCCAGGCATCATAGTAAGACCTTGTCTCTACAATAAATAAAAAATTAGCTGGGCATGGTAGCATGTGCCTATAGTTCCGGCTACTTGGAAGGCTGAGGCGGAAGGATCTCCAGAGCCCAACAGGTTGATGCTGGGGTGGCCGTGAGTGTGCCACTGCACTCTAGCCTAGGCAACAGAATGAGACTCCAACTCAAAAAAAAAAAAAAAAAAAAAAAAAAAAGTCAGAAGGGAACCAAGACAAAAAAAATAAGAACAAAGGAATAAAGAGGCTGAAACTGGCCTCCCAACTAAAAACATGTTAGGGCTCAGTTTCCTATCCCTCTTAACCACACTGGGCAGGTGGGGGTTCCAACCTCTCCATAACCTAAAAGCTATACGTGTCAACAACTACCACTGGCCAAAAAATAAAAAATGTTTCCCCCTAACCATCACCCACATTTATCCCTAGCCTCTATAAACTGAAGTCTTTTCTACTTAATAAAAAATAAATGTCTCCAGAAGAACAAACTGAGTCATCACTCTCTTATCCTATGTGCACACACACTCACTTCTTTATAAAGTTTTGGGCACTTTGGATGAAAGCGCAGAGCCCGAAGAAATAGTTGCCTCGCACTTTCTGAAGACAATCGATCTTCCATTTCCCATTTGGCAGCCATAATCCACAAAGCTGTAAATGAAAAAAGATCAGACTTCATTTCAATAAGTTAGTCAAATCAAGCAAGAAAAGACTAGTGCTCCCATTTTAATACCCAGGGAATTTTTTTTTTGAGTCAGAGTCTCACTATGTCACTTAGACTAGAGTACAGTGGCCCGCACACAGCTATCACAGTCTTGACCTGCTGGGCTCAGGTGGTCCTTCTGCCCTGGCCTTCCAAGTAGCTGGAACTACAGGCATGCATCACAACACCTGGCTAAATTTTTTTTTTATTGTATAGACGAGGTCTTGCCAAGCTCCCTAAGCTGGTCTTGAACCCCTGGGCTCAAGTAAGCCTCTTGCCTCCACCTTCCAAAGTGCTGGGATTACAGGTATGAGCCACCGTGACTGGCTAAGACACAAGGAATTTTTTTCAAGACCAGCCTAGGCAACATGGCGATACCTCAACTCTACAATAAATCAAAAAATTAGTCAGGAGTGGTGGTGGGTGCCTGTAATTCCAGCTACTTGGAAGGCTGAGGTAGAAGGATCACCTGAGCCCAGCAGGTCAAGACTGCAGTAGCTGTGAGTGTGCCACTGCACTCTAGCCTGGGTGACAGAATGAGACTCCAACTCAAAAAAATAAATAAATAAAATCTATATTAATATTTTCCCATTTAAGCTTTTGAAACTCCTCATATTTGACTGCCTCCAGATAAAATGTCCCTCAAAGGACTCAAAAGTTCTTTCATCATTAACTAAAAAGAAATACAGTCCTTCTTGCCTACAGATACAACACTAGCAAAGCAACTAGTCCACAGTAGGCAGGGATGAACTAAGAGCCATCTATTCAATAGAACTGCTGAGGTCAGCTGCCTACACTCAAGTACCCAAAATAGTGTCTCTTTGCTCATTGAGCAAAATTCCAAAATGGCTTGCTTGACTCTAAATAAAATATAAAAAAAGAACTAGCCGGGCTCAGTGGCTCAGCCTGTAATCCCGCGCCTTTGGGAAGTTGAGGTGAGTGGACTGCCTGAGCCCGCAGGTTTGAGACCCGCCTGAGCGGCGTGACCTCATCTCTACAATAAATCAAAAAATCAGCCGGGCGTGGTAGCGTATGCCTGTAATTCCGGCTACTTAGAAGGCTGAGGCGGAAGGATCGCCGGAGCCCAGCAGGTCGAGGCTGTGGTGGCCGGGAGCGACCACTACACTCCAGTCTGGGCGACCGAGTGAGACTCCAACTCAAAAAAAAAAAAAACTGAGGAGGATTTCACCATACCTGGTTTGTTGGAATGAATGGCCAGCATGGCAGAGTACACCTTGCTAAGTTGAGTGTTCGTAGCCTGGAAAAGAGGAAAAAATATTTCTACTTCCTGCACAGAGAAAGCATTTCTGCTACTCTGTAAGTATTATGTACTATACTCTGGCCAACTGCGAAATCCAAAGGGGCAAGATCTATTACTGCTAGGGACGTCTCACTAAACACAGACACATTCATAATTTTCTTCACCCTAAACCACTAAAAATAAACACTCTAAATTTCTTAAAATTTTTTTCAACTTTACTTAAGAAGCACACATAAAAAATTTTTTTTCTCAACTAACTTAGAAGCCTAATATATTCATTCAGATACACAAATGTTACAATGAAGTTCAGCCTTCTTGGATCTTTTTCCCATCTGTTAACCTTATACCTTTGGAGAAAACATGGCATTCAGTAATCAAGTATCATGCTTAAAAGGCAGAGTAACAGAGAGAAGGGAGAGGGAGCAAGACATGGCTTTACTTACCCATTTCTTACAAAAAACTATGTAAGATAGCCAAAGTTGAACGTCATCCTGCAAGAAAAGCGATGAAGTAAGCTGTCTGAATTTGACTTTACATATAATATACCAAGGCATTAATTAATTTTGTTAGAAACAGGCAGATTCCGAAAGATTCAATGTGTCGCCACACCCCTCAGCCCAGTAGGCTCTTCCTCAAGGAGGTCTTGAATCTCTTAACCATGATAATTCAATCTCTCCTCCAACTCCCACCTCCCACACTGCAAGGCAAAATTTGTCATTCATTCAATTTATTCCATGTAGTCTTAAATGGCCTCAATCAGAGGTAGCAACACAGAATTTGTCATTCCCAAGAATCCAAAGAACTCTCCATGAAATATATCCAGTCCCAAAGCCAAATTTGAAGAAAATCAAATTTCTGAGGTACTGCCCTACCTCAGTCTTTGGCATACTTAGAGATATAGCCAAACAGCTTTTAGACAATTTTCTGATCCTTAGTAATGTATCAAATACAGTTTTCAGCACAAAATAACTATAAGGTAATGAGATAAGTTTTCTTACTAATTTGTTAAATAGCTCAAAAAAAATTTCAAGCAATGATATCATCTTTAAAATAAATAGAGACAAGAAGAATACTGAGACAAGAATAAAAAACAATGCATTTCAATACCTAACTCACAATATGTAAAATATATATATCACTTACTTTCCATTTTGCTGAAGCACGTCGGAAGATACCTTGTACCCGGTGTATAATAGAATTCTCAATCTCATCCTTCTTAAATAAATATCCAATGCGCTAAAAGGGGACATAAAAAACAAATCCTCAGTTTAATCACGTTTTCCAAAGTAGCATTCCTACTTGATCATTTAACAGTACTGATGAAGAAGGCAAATAGTTACAAATATCCATTATGGACACATCACCACACAATTTATCAACACTGTCTCGCAAAAACAAATCCTACCTATACATCCACACTGTTTAGTCTTGTATTTTTTTCCAACTTCTAAAAAAAAATCTTTTACTTACTAATCTTCTTTTCTGGATCAGCTCCAAAAGATGAATTTCATACTATGAAAGAAAAACATACAAAAGACGAAAAAAAATTGTAACCTTTTAATTATGGAAAATATATTTAGCTAAAATCATAAGGTAAAAATCAAGAATATAAAATAGGAGTTTGCTAATAATAAGCATAATTTATAATAAATATCTGGAAGTCACTGAAAATTTACCTTACATCTGTAAAACTTACAAATACATAGAATTATTAAGCTTATAATTATATGCTTCATCTAAGTTTTATGGAAGGGACACATAACATCACCAAGAGTACCTGACCCTAAACCAGGGGAAGTGAGAACCAGTTAGGGGCCCAAACTTCACCTGCACATAAACTACGTATGTACCTAATCCTGACCTGAACCCCACATCATTACAATAAAATAAAATTTAAAAAGAAAAGAAAAATAAAAACCTCAAAAGTTTTGTAACATATTTTAAGCACAAAGAACACCCCACATCATACCTACCATACAGCTGCATCAAAGCCTACATGCTACTACATTTGCTTCAAATCTTTTTTAGAAACAAAACATTACATATAAAGGTGAAACCTCCTATGTACCCGCCTGATTCTACTCTTCTCCCCATGCAAAGTAGCAACTATGCTGACTTTGTTGTCATTCCCAATCATGACTTTGGATTTTATTATAATGCTGTTTGAATGTTTTACTTTTTAAATAAATGGTATCATGCTACATCCATCATTCCGTATCTTTACTCAACATTGTGACTTTAGATATGTCCCTCTTGACACATGCAATTCAAGTTTATTTTCACTACTGTATAATCTTTCACTGTATGAAAGTGCAAATTTGCCTATCCCTTTCTCCTGCTAATAAACATTTGCTTCCAATCTTTACTACAAAAAGCTGCAATTAATATTATTCTATATATCTTCTTGTTAACATATATAGAAACTCTCTCCAGGGTGTACCCCATTCCCATGACTATTATGTAATTTCCTCAACAATTTTTGTCTGCTTAAATTTTTTTTTTTTTTTTTGAGTTGGAATCTCACTCGGTCGCCCAGACTGGAGTGCAGTG